AGCTTACACATCTTCCAGCGCAGACTGAAAACTCATCTCTTTCGACTCCACTTCGAGCGATAGAATTACTAACAAAGCACTTATATACTAATAAAAGACTGGCTTATCTAAAGCCAGTTGAGTAGCACTTGACAGTTTTGGCTCTATGAAACCTGATGTACTTCTATGATTCTGTTTTCTTCAAGGTTGTATCTTCTTGGTCGAATGCACTTATTGTAAGTCGCTTTGGATAAAAGCGTCAGCTAAATGACATGTAATATAATGAACCCAGTTTTTATATTTGAAGATCTTCTAGATCTAGATATTAAAAGTAGTTTAAGTATAAGTTATCTCTCCTTTCTGGTTTCAAACAGCATACACATGATCAAGGGATTCACCATCTATGCACGTAGTGGACACACATGTAAGACAGAAGAGTTTATGGAGCATTTTGAAGAGTAATCACATTTGTACATTTATAGCAATGCATAAAGAAGACATCACATTATTGTATACACAAGTTGCTCATATTCTTCCGTTGTATTTCTGACAGAGTAGCTGCACAAACTGCATTTCCTTCCTCCAAGGATCCATAAATGTGACATTTCAAACAGCCCTCTCGTACTTGTGTTGCTACGATGTTCTTAATGTTATCACCAGTAGCAGCAGGTGTTGCCACATCAACACAAACTGAAAGTCTAAAGGATTATAACCTTAGCAAGAAGTGTGTAAGTGTGTGTGTGTGTGTGTGTGTGTGTGTGTGTGTGTGTGTGTGTGTGTGTGTGTGTGTGTGTGTGTGTGTGTGTGTGTGTGTGTGTGTGTGTGTGTACCTGTACTCTTCCTGAGTGAACACAGGAATGACAGAGGGCTGCAGGACTGTGATCTCTACCAGAGTTGTGTTCTCCTTTGCTGGCTCACCATCATCAAAGGCCACCACCACCAGCTGTCAATCAAACACACACAGTAAAGAGTCACGACATTAATTAGATATCCATATTCCTGCCTGCAATATGCCAGTCTAGTGCTTTCACTAGTCTATGGTCTTTTTTAAATCCATTTTGTATATCCTACACTGCACTGTCACTTTAATTCCTGTATTTTATTGCTGCCTTTTTCTATTAGGCTTGTTTTACTTTTTATTCTCTTGGCTAAGACTGTTGTAATATATCTTAATGTAATATTTTAATGTTTTAAGGCACTTTGAACTGCCTTGTTATTGAAATGTGTTGTATAAATAAACATGCCTTGCTAACTGTATATCAGTTCACATCATTAGACAGTGTACTGACACCGGAGACAGCCAAATAAATTGATGCCGCTAATGCATGGCGGGCTGAAAATAAACCAAGCAAATGTCTACATTATTTTTTGTCTCCCGCAAAAGGCACATTATTTGCAAGGGAATAAGAAAACAGGATGAAAGTGTATCCCGCTGGTGCGATTAGCCTTTTTTCTTCATTTAATTGGGAGTAACCGCTGTTAACTGGACCCAGAGGATTCATAATGAGGCCCAAAGTCAAATATTAAGTAATTGAAATATTTTTTTGTTTAGCAATATGGTGTTGCCCTTCATTTTATTCATACGCAACCCCTCATTCTAGTTCGAGCACTAATGAGTCACATGGTTTTGAGCTTAAACTCTGTTTCTAACCTTGGAAACTCCCTTATGCATTCCATGCTGCAACAAAAAATATATTTTGGACAATAAGGGGTGGTGCAATTATAATGCGATGCAAGCAAAGTATGTAAACATTTTCTACATATCAATGAGATGTGCCTCTCTGTGTGTCCTTGTAGGAAATTATTCATTCAGTCATAATCCCAAAATTGTACACAGTGTTGGGATAATTCATTTTGTTTCAGTTATTGGGAGCAAATGAGGTAGTATTAGTCCCCCGAGTGACATCTTCAGAGGACGCTGAATCCTTGTTGTGTTAATTAAAGCCCAATGAAAAAATAAAAATAGAATGGCCCAAAGCCCCATCGAGGAGAGCAGCTGGGAAAATGCCATTTTGAAGCTAATAAGCTATTGCGGAATACTTTGTACAGTGGATAGGGATTTATAAAAGTGCTCTGTGCAAAGACAACCTTATGTACACAAAAGTAAAACCTGAGAGTAATGCTCAAATTCCCACTTAATCCAAAAATACAAAGCAAAACAGGGTGAATTCGATAAATCCTCTCCAGTAATGGTGTCTCTTTTGGACTGAAGCCACGGTGTTCAGTCCAAATAGATCGATTTAAATGATTGGGAATTACATTAGGGATGCTGCATACTGTATTTACAATGTGATGCTCAGTAGACTCACTGCAGCATGCTTATATTTAATACATTGAATACATTACAGTTTGATTGAAGTTAATATCTTTCTAGTGGGAGAATCTTTTACTGCCGTTTCCCTCCATTGCAGATGTGCATATTTTATGACATTTATAAAAAGGACAACGTTTTGAAGTGTACCCGGCGCAAAACAAATTACAAAGGGCTGTTATGTGAAGGAAACAGAGCCGCATTCCAGTTTGTCATTCTTATATGAAAGTGTCTACTTTAGTCTAGAGCTGCATATTTAACACATTTTTAAAAGCCAGCGAGATTGATCTGATTTCATCTCGTTGAAAGAGAGTATCATTAGGAAACATCACTTTAAGATGCGTCATTTTTATTGTGTTGGTTCCTTTTGTGTTCATTTCAATGCCCAGTGTTTTTAATAAAAGAATGGTGGAGATAAATTCCTTTCAACAAGCAATTTGTGTTGTTTTATCAGCAAATTAAAAGCAGCAGAAAAGCAGAAATCAGTACACAATATCTGTTTATTTTGTGTTAGTAATATTGGAATAACGTTTTGCACATTTGTCCTTATATAGCGCAGGCATACTCGGGAATCTTTGTCACAGTGTGCGCGTCTTTTCGAATTATCTGCAGTTAAATGAAAAAGTGATTTTGTTTTACTTCTCTCACTGTTTAATTTCAAAGGATTGATATTGTATCCATAAAACTGTGCTGCTAGAATGCCTAGAGAAAGCAAAGTTAAAAAACGAACAAAAACTAAGCATAACCTTGTGTACACGCACCAATATTTATCAAGTGACCCCACAGTGTACATTATAGATTACTGTTGATCTCTAAATTAAACTGTGTGTGCAAACTCACGCTGAACTTGAGGTTGGGCTCCTCGTTGAGGTTTACTCTGGTGACCACACGTCCCGTCTTTTCCTCTACATCAAATATACTGGCAGAGTATGGATAGGCCTCCTGGTTCACTTTATAGCGTACTACACCTGCCGGGGTACCCTGTGAAGAGAACAAGTACACTTAGGATGATGGATATCTCCGGCACACTTCCTGGAACACTGCCATTCTCACAACACAGCATTGTAACAATCTGTTAAAGCACAGTGTGTAAAAGATCTAAAGCAAAAATATTGGTCCTATATGTCCAATAGTGTGTCTGTGTACAAGCAGAAGACACATATTCCCACATAAGATATTCATATTGAGGCACTTTACTGATCACTTATCCTTTCACTCAAATGTACAGGGAATTCCATTATTTTGTACAATACTGCATTACGGGCCAACACAATTATTTGGAAAGGCATATCCTCTAACATTTCAACATTATTTCTGATAATATGAGGGACAACCTGAACACATGCTGCCATTGAATCTGTACTGTTTGCTAGACCTCTACTAAAAATAATTAAAACATTGATTTCCTCTTGTTTCTCAGAGGATGAGAGTGTCACAGTTGGGGAAAAATAGGACCCAAATGCAGATTGAGGAGGAAGCAGCTTGCAAAAGGAAACAAAAAGGCGAGTTTTATTTTCAAAAGCTGAAAAAACAAGAATCCATGAACAGGTACGAGCTAAAACAAGAATTCATGAACAGGTACGAGCTAAAACAAGAATCCATGAACAGGTACGAGGTAAAACAAGAATCCATGAACAGGTACGAGGTAAAACAAGAATCCATGAACAGGTACGAGGTAAAACAAGAATCCATGAACAGGTAGGAGGTAAAACAAGAATCCATGAACAGGTACGAGGTAAAACAAGAATCCATGAACAGGTACGAGGTAAAACAAGAATTCATGAACAGGTACGAAGTAGTAGCATCCAAACAAAAGGTGACCAACATGAAGGGAGACATGAACGACAAATAATGAACCAACA